AAAAAGACTCACATATAATTTACAAAAGCAAAAAAAAAAACAAAATTAGGTCAATTGGGTTTGCAATTATACAACAAGAAGAAATAGGTTTGATTTTTTTTTTGTCTGTCTGTTTGTTTTGGCTTCAAAAAATAGATCAAGTAAAGCAAAAAAAAATTGGAAAAAAGATGAAGAAAAAAGTTTTTTTTTTCTTTTGTAGAAATTTCTTTTCTTTTTCAACTTTCCTTTCTCTTTACAGAGCTTTAAGTTGGCAGATAGACGACACTTTGAAAAAATGCTAAATTGAGTATAGTTGTTGTTTGGAGGGAGGAGGGCAGTTGATAGAACTGCTTTTCTTTTGCAAAAATCATTGATTGCTTCAGATTACTAAACAATTGGCTCTCTTTCAGTTGAAATAATTTGAAGCATTTTTTAATGTTTTAGCTTTTTCGTTTTTTATTTTCTTTTTAAAAAGACAGGAGGGGGAGAAGGAGCTATTTGTATAAGTCTCAAATTTCAAACTATTCATCGGTTAGCATTGTAACCAACAGTAATATAACAGTGACAACAAAAAACGGCAGCAGCAACACTAATAATGAATAATAATAATAATAATAGTAATAATCGCAAAGGGAATATGGATGAAGATTTTGCGGTTTAACTGCAACTATACAATTGCAAAATAATGCTGCTTCCTGAAGAACACTGTGTTCTAAACATCAGTGTTCTTCATCGTTCTTCCGGTTGCCTTATGTGTCCTTTGAGGCAAAAACTAATAAGCAGACGGGGGAAGGAGAAGGGGGGGGGGGGAGAAAAAATTGGCAACAACGATAGTCTAAAATTTGATATAAATTTTTGTTGTTTAAAAAAGATGCAATTTCTGATCAGTTATATATATGTGTAAACTGTTTGCAATCAGTAAATCATTAATTAGTAAACAAAGAAAAAATTCAGCTTTTTTTTTTTTGTTTTGAAGAATTAAATTTAAAAGCTTATAAACTTTGTACAAAAATTTAAATATCAAATATCAATAAATTACAATGATTGCATCAACAAAATTTGTTCAATTTACTTTTGTGCACTTCTATCATTTACTGTTTTCTCCTCTTTTTTTTTCTATTTTTTTTTCTTTTTTTTTGCAGCTT